CTCTCCTCGTTTGCTGCCGCTGCTGCTGCTGCGGAGGCCCCAAGGCGTACTTGATGAATACCCTGTCGCTGTCTTCGATCCAGAGGGGCCCCCCATTCCTAAAGAACACAAAGTTAGACACTCATGCTGCTGCTGCTGCTGCTGCTGCTGCTGATGCTGCTGCTGCTGATGCTGCTACTGCTGCTGATGCTGCTGCTGATGCTGCTCCTGATGCTGCTGCTGCTATTGTTGATGGTGATGTGGTTGTTGTTTTCGGTGCTGCTGCTGCTGCTGCTTCCGCTACTATTACTACTACTGCTGCTGCTGCTACCGCTAGTATTACTACTACTGCTGCTGCTGCTGCTACTGCTGTTGCCTCTTCTACTGCTGTTGCCTCTTCTACTGCTCCTGCTCCTGCTGCTGGCACTGCTGCCACTGCCACTGCCACTCCTGCTGCTGCTGCTGCTGCTGCTGCTGCTGCTGCTGCTGCTGCTGCAGGTCCCGATTGTGCTGGAGCACGTGGGTGGTGTTGTTGAGCGTTTGGGGTGTACAGACAGCTCCGAGTGTTTGTCGTTTCCCCTGCCTTTATTAGAAGCAGCAGCAGAGGGTTTGTCTCCTTCAAGGGGCCCCCTTCATTCAGCGTCTCCGGGGGGGCCCCCTGCTGCAGCAGCTGCTGCAGCAACTGCTGCAGCAACTGCTGCAGCAAAGGGGGGGCCCCCCTCCTGGCAGTTGGTTTGCTCTGATGTTTGCAGTGCTGCTGCTTTTGCTGTTGACATAGACTTGCCGCTGCTGCTGGGGGCCCCGGGGGCCCCCCTCTTCCGCGCTAACAGTCAGTTCTGCTTGGTGAGCAGCAAAATAAAGATAATGATAGAAGCGGGGCCCTAATGAAGAGACACATAGAAGGGGGGCGGGCCCCCCTCTTCCGCGCTAACAGTCAGTTCTGCTTGGTGAGCAGCAAAATAAAGATAAAGATAGAAGCGGGGCCCTAATGAAGAGACACATAGAAGGGGGGCCCCTATAAGGAGACAGATAGAAGGGGGCCCCCACTATAAGGAGACAGATAGAAGGGGGGCCCCCTATAAGGAGACAGACAGAAGGGGGGCCCTAATGAAGAGACACATAAAAGGGGGGCCCCCTATAAGGAGACAGACAGAAGGGGGGGGCTATATAAAGAAAAAAGTAGAAGGGGGCCCCCTATAAGGAGACAGATAGAAGGGGGGCTTCTCATAAAGAGACAGATAGGAGGGGGTCCCCACACTATACAGAGACATATAGAAGGGGGGGCCCTTTATGAGGAGACAGATAGAAGAGGGGCCCTCTGTAAGGAGACAGATAGAAGGGGGGCCTCCAAGGGGGGAGAGACATTGGGGGCCCCCACCCTCTGCTTTGGGGGCCCTCAGTGAGAGCGAAGAGAGATAGAGAGACAGATAATGCATGCCGCCTGTTCTCATGTTCCTGCTGTTGCTGTTGCTGCTGCTGTTGCTGCTGTTGCGGTTGCTGTTACTGCTGTTGGTAC